GGTCCAACGCAGGCTCGCTCCCTGCCAAGAGCTCTGCCAGCACTGGAGGGTCTATAAAAGAGAAGCAGGTCATCTGCCAGCCGCCCAGTGCTTCGACATGCTTCAGGATGAAAGGAGCCCTGACAGCATCACTGCTTCTAATTATCCTGGCAGGCTAAATTAGCGGGCTGCTTTGAAGTCAGTCAGAGATCATAAAGCACAGCCCTGCTGAAAGCTGCAAGAGAGTGGAGCTGGGGACTTGGCAGGGAGGGGTCCACGTGGGGATTCGGTGGGAAGGGGGTCATGGGAAGCAGGAGGCTGTGGGGATCCAAGGGCGAGGGCACAGCCTGAGAGCTGTTTTTTTCAGTGTCCCCACACCTTTGTTGCCGCTGTGTGATGAAACTCCGGGCATGGGAGGAGGATCCTCTGGGGAAGAGCCTTGTGGACACCCCACCATCTCGTTCCCTTGGGACTCTCAGCCTCTGCTGCCAGGCTTCTTGCCAGCAGGGCTGGACGTGGTTTTAGGTCCATCCCCTGTGCCATGTCACCTATGTGCATAATGTAAGAGTGGAAGGATGCTCTACGGCGCGGAGACACTTGTGCCTCCTCTGGGTCGTGGTGGGGTTGGCTTCATTCTCCCTCCTTGTCCTCACTGTTTACTTCTCCATCTGGCAGGAAGAAATTGCTGACGGGTGAAGAGAAACGGAGGTAGGACTGACTCCCACCCCGCTCCCACTCCCTGGGAACTGGCCACCATACCCAGAGGCTCTGCTGCTGTCCTCAGCGAGGGTCCCTAAAGCAAGGGTTGGGGTTCCCCATGGTACAGCAAGCTACCTAGGGCTGGGGTCCTGAGGGAAAAGTCTGACTCAGGGTGGTACTTTTCCAGGAAGGACCGTAGGGCTGGTATGAGGGGAATACCTTTGGTGATGCTCAGAGGGATGTGCCAGGCTCTGAAGGAGTGAGGGAAGCTGATCCATGATAGGGTCTGCCTTCTCTGCCAGGCTTTTGGCATGGTGGTCTCCCTGCATGGCAACTCGTTGGAAGCACAGCAGGTGTGGAGGGGGGGACATGTCACCACCCTGTCTCCCCATCTGCAGGAACAAGAATGGGTATGTCGGGCCGTGCCTGCAGGATCCATCCCGCCCCGGCACGTGCACCGTCCATGGCTCGGAGTTCTGGAGCTCCTACCGCCTGAACATCACTGAAATGAACCCCCTGGGCTCCAGCTTCCGCCTCCTCGATGTCACCATGCAGGCCATCAGTGAGTCCCCATCCATCCATCTGTCCATCCCAGCATCCATACATCCCCTGTGCAGCCAGCACATCACTCCTCTGTACAGCAGTCTGGTGTGATGTGGGCTCCCTGTCCTCTTCTGTGCAGTTAAACCAGACCCTCCGGAGGGCTTGGTGGTGGAGCCCATCCCGCTAGCTCCACGGCGGCTCCACGTGAGCTGGAAGTACCCTTCATCCTGGCCCAAGGAACCCCACTTCCAGCTCAGGTTTCGGCTCCAGTACCGGCCAGTCATCCACCGCTCCTGGTCCGTGGTAAGCGGTGGGTAAGGAAACGCTAAACCGGGGTGGGCAGGGGGCCAGGAGGGAGGGCAGCGAGGGGTGCCCCTGCCTACCCCACAGCCCCCCTCTGCCTGGTGCAGGTGGAGACAGTAAACCTGTCAGAGGTGATCACAGACGCTTTTGCTGGGCTCGAGCACGTGGTCCAAGTCAGCGCCAAGGATTTCCTGGATGCGGGGAACTGGAGCGAGTGGAGCGCCGAGGCCCGGGCGACGCCAGTCAGAGGTGTGAGGGGTAGAGGATGCAGCCCCCAGCAGCCCTACTGCATTGCACCATCCCTTCCCAAAGCCCCTCCAGCACCCTGGGTTGTTCCTCTACACTCCGTTCCCCACAGCACATGTTCTTCTAAGTATCACCCAGAACAAGTCCCAGCTCCTGGGGTCCCTTAAAGTTGACCCAAAAAGTGGTCCTCTGCACTGACCAAAAAGTGGTCCCATGGTGGGAGGCATTGCTGCAAGGGGGTAAAGCACCTCCGAGACCCACAGCAGGCTGCTGCCATCCTGCTGCCATTGGAGGATGCTGCCCCCAGCCTCGGGGCATAGAGGGGCTCCCATAGCAGCAGTGGCACCCCGGGTCACCCTTGAGCTCATGGGACCCCTGAGACACAAGGCTTCTCTTCTTTCCTCCTCTCTGTGGGTCACCTGTGAGTGATTCTCATCCCCCATGTCCTTCCAGACCTGGCCACCACAGTGAGTGAAGAAACCACTACAGATGCCAGCCTGGGGAGCCTGGCTGAGGAGGTCTCCCAGGCTCCCAACCCTGAGCCCATCAGTGAGTAGTGCTGGGGAAGGTGGGCCGGAGCGGGGTCTGTCCTCAGGCACCTACCTGCCCCTGCACACATATGGCTGAGAGTAATGGGAAAGGTCTTTTGCCCTACGCCCTTGTGTGGGTGGAGTGCTGGGGGGTCCAGGAGCTTGCAGTAGGTCACCCAGGTGTTGGGGAATGTGGCATCTCTCAGCTGCAACAGTCTCTCTGTCCTAGACCACAGTGACTCCTTGGAGAAGATGGCTGTCCTGGTGTCCCTCGGGATCTTCGCCTTCTTTGTCCTGGCTGCAGTTCTTGTCGTCATCATCCTCATATGGTAGGTTGCGTTTTGAGTGGGAGGAGTCTGCATGACTGCTGTCTCTCTTTCACCTGGGCCCTGAGACCTCCAGGCTAGGGTGCTCCGTGTCCCTGCCAGCCCTGCTCTGGGGTCCCTGCCCAAACAGACTTGATGCCAGCCCCATACAGCAGTTTATGCTCCTCTTGCACCCCTGCCACATCATTGCCTCTTGCCAGTGCACTCCACGGGCTCTGGTACTGCCCAGCCTTCCTGGGGTCTTTCTTATGACCTCATATCCATGGGACCTTTCTCTGTATCCTCCAAAGAATCCCAGCCCTGCTCTGTCTCATGACCAGCTCCTACTGCAGCCCTGGAGCTGACCTTCCAGAGTGGTCAGGCACAGCTGGGTTCAGCTGGATGGGGATGCAGAGCAGGACCACCATGGATGCAGACAGCCCTGATGCCCAGGCGGCCTTCTTGGGGTCCTTAGACACCACTGCTTTGTCCCCAGGCTCCGGGTGAGGAAGAATGGCAAGGACAAGACCAAACCCCACAGCTTCTTGGTTGCTGCCACCCACCTGAAGGCACTGCCAAGTGAGTAGGGGTGCACGGAGGGTAATGAGGGGATGTGAGGGAGCGTGTGTGGAGGCAAGGGGCAGGTCAGTACCCTGCCTGCCCTGCTGCCCTCTCTCTTGACAGAGGCCCAGATCCTGTAGTAAGCGCTGGCTGATCCCTGCTCCCTGCACCTGCTTGTCCACGCGTGGGGACTCAATGCCACTGACGGCCCCCAAGGACCCCACGCCTCCCTGGGGGTGCAGGACGGAGCTGAAGGAGAGAGTCTCTGCTTCCAGGAGCTTTGGGCTGGCCGTGCCAGAGGCACCTTGGACTCAGGGGGACCAGACAGCCCCACCGCCGGGCGCTGCTGAAAAAATGGGGATAAGACTCTGAGCCAGTCCTGCTTCGCTGCCTAGTGCCGAGGGGGACCATGGATGCAGGCTCCCGGGAGTGATGGGCATCAGTGAGGAGGGGGTGCTGAGCCCTGCCTGTCATCCCCTACCAGCCTCCAGCAAGCAGAAGGGACCCCTCGCCCCCATCTCTCTGCCCCTCTCACCTGTGCTGTGGCTGGATGGAGCAGTGTCGCCAATAAAGGGGGTAGTGTTGGCACTGCTCAGGCAAGACCCCATTGCAGATGATGCTTGGCCAAGGGAAGAGGTGAGTGGCACCAAGTGAGATGCCAGCTCGGGAACAATCCTTTCAGGAGGTGCAGAACCAGCAGGGCTGGTCCCCAAACTGGTCAGCCCCCTCCCCAGGTGCTTGGAGGGGCTGAGAGAGACCCTCACCCAGCCCAGCCCTTGTTGTCAGGCAGCTGCCTGGGACATCATCCCCGCCCTCACCAGCCTGGCAGTGGGGACAGGACCCTCTGCACAGCCCCCCTAGCTCAGCATGTAGCCCCCTCCCCGCTCCTTGACACGGCCCCTTTAATAGCTTCCATATGCTGGCACATCTGACCCCTATGCTCAGCGCCAGCAGCCCGATGAGATCCAGATGGGGCTGGGTGGAAATTCAGGCAGTGGCGGTGGCGCAAGGAGCAGAGCCAGCGCAGGGCAGATCCCGGTGCTCACCCCAGTGGGGAGATGTGTCAGTCATGGCTGGAACCCGGGGCTGCCGTTGAAGCTGGGGTGCGGAGGGAGAACGGAGCCAGGGGGATCTCCCAAAAGGGTCTTCATTGGGTCTGGGTTGGAGGGGACCAGGGCAGGGCTTTGCCTTTTCAATGGCTTGCATGCCATCCGCCCTCACTGGGTGATGCTGCACTCCCACCCTGGACACGGGGGCATGGGTGCTTGGCTTTCTGGGTTCCCAGCCCCCTACCACCCTGGTGAGTGTACTTACTACCCTGAATGGGAGTCGATGGGGGCCAGTCCTTCATCTGCGGTGTGCTACTGAGGTGGCACCCTCCTTGAACAGGAGCTGGGCTCTCTGCAGAGCAAGTAAGGCAGGTAACCAAGGGCCAAGTGTAAGGGGCCAGATCCTGCGTGGGCTTCTGGGCCCAACATCCCCTCTGCTGGGTGCATCTTAGAATTTACCAGCTCCAGCTGTGCCGCACTGCCATCACCTGTTGGACCCTGGTCCCTGGCATCCAACCCAGCCAGCACCTTTCTGACCTGTCACAGTCGCCCTTGCCCTCCTTTGTTCCCCAGTGTGGTATGGGCAGCCCTTTTCTCTTGGAAGTCTGCTCTTATCACTGCCAGATCCCACTCTCCTACCCCCATGAAGGGGATCAGGGCTGTGATTGTTCACAGGATACTGTTGAATGTGGGTGGCATCCATCCCAGGAAGGGGACAAAGGCCTTCTCTTGGCTGGTGGGACCACACGGTTCTGGTGGCCGAGGCACCCTGAGTGCAGGAGATGCGCATCTGGTCCACATCACCATATCCTGCTGCCCTTGGCCCTGGAGGGTGACTTTTTTCCACTTTGATGGAAGCTCTGGGGATGGGATCTGCCACTTATTTGGCAGCTGGAGATACCAAGATTAGGAAAGGGGCCTGCATGCCTTTGCCAAGTCCTGGCTGCCGGCGCTGTGGCTGCCTGCTAGGATGCACCTCGGCTCAGCTCCCTTCCCCAGCAGCTTGTAAATGTGACATGCAGGCATCGGGGACACCAAGGAAGCAGCAGGTTCAATGCTTGGGGGTCTAAAGGTACTTAGTGCCTCCCACAGGGAGGTTGGACATGAGCAAACGGAGTTTTCTACCAGACCAGAGAAGATGCAAGGGGAGGGCTGGGATGTACAGAAATCTGGGATAAAGGAGAAGGGTTCCAGATGCCAAAGTCAACTTTGCCTTCAAGCTGTGAAGAGAAAAACAGGAAGGGACCATGAGCGCAATCCTAGCACAGGCACCTCCCTGTCCCACTGCGGGGCCAGGGCACTTCCTCCAGATCTCAGGCTTTTTGGTGGCTTGTGCAGCCACTGAGTGAGCAGGAGGCTTCCTGCTGCAGGCTGGAGCCCTGCCTGGATGCACCCTGCCCTGAGGAGGCAGATGAACTTCCAAACTTGCCTTCCCGCTGCATCCCACCCTCCCCAGGGTGGATGCTGTGCCAAGGTCACTGCAGGAGCTGGTACAAGCCAGGCCTGGAGATGCTGAGGCTGTGCCAGGTCGAAGAAGCCTGTGGGTTGCCTCCATGAGGAGCAGGGATGAGTCCAGCTCCATGGTGTGGGACAGGCACCAGCCCAAGCCCAGCAGGAGAAAAATGCAGGAGAATATGGCCTGGGTCCTGCTGAGGGTACAAAATTTCCAGCAGGCAATGCCACACACCAGGGAAGGTCCCCAGAAAGGTCCACATCTGTGTCTCCATCTAGCCCAGGCTGGCCCCATCCAGAGCATCTCTTGGTCAGGGGCTGGGGTCCACCAGCCACCCAGCTGTGTGTAGGGCTCATTTAGGAAAGCAATAGCTTGGGCAGAAGCCTTTGCAGTAGGTCAGTGGTTGTGGACGGCTGTTCAGCAGTGCCTGAGCTGTGTGACCACCACCAACTCTACCAAATATCTGGGCTGGCCCTCAGGCCTAGCCTCCTCCTGTCCCTGCCTCACTGCCAGGATCAGCCTGCATTTTGCAGGGGAGAAGGTGGGTTGCACAGGGCTGTGAAGGAAAACAGTCTCAACTTACCTCTGGTCGCTGCTTCTGCTTCCTTCTCTGCACATCCTGAGCCAAGAACCTAAGTAAAATCAGCTCTGGCAGATCGTGGAGGCCATAAGGGCATGAAACATATATATGTCACAAGGCAAGGGAGATAGTGAAGGGTATGTGTATCGTCAGCAGTTCAGTAGGTAGGAAAGGATGCATGGATTGAGGGAAGGAGCTGTGCAGATGTGTAGGTGGATGCATGGCTTGGCTGGCAGAGGGAAGAAGAGATGGGTATATAGATGGATGGATGAATGTGTGGATGGATAGGCTGTTCGGACACGCAAATACCCTCCTCCTCATCAAAGATGCTCATTATGGAGGGGCTGACTTGTGAAGATGGCTGGGAGGCCAAGTGTGGCTGGCAAAGGGAGGCCCATGGGCAGAGCAAGGATGGCATTTGGGAACCTGTCCCAGGTGCGGCTCATGCACCCAGACCCCATGGAAGTGTCATCACAGCTGAAATGAGGAGACAAAGCCCAGATTGTTATCAGTGCAGGTCCCAAGAGTGTCAGGGGAGAGCATGGGGCATCTCTAGGGGGATTGCTTACCGCTCAAGAGCCGTTTCCATCTCACACTGGGCACTGGGAGTAGAGAAGCAGCTGGGACCATGTGCTGGGGACACAGTGAATCCAAACACAAATGCTTTAAAAAAACCCCAGTGCTGACTAGCCACACTGGCTATAGCTGTCATCTCACCTGCACATGGGATACCTCTGCCTGGGGTCTTTCCATACGGTCCAAGTACCCAGCCCACTGGAGAGCATTGAGATCATCCATACTCTTGCTTCTTCATCTGCCTTTCTTTCTAGTGGCCTCTCCCCTGCTTCCAGGATGCTTCCAAGTCTTTCATGGCCAGGAAGCATCACACATGTGGCTGCAGAGATGCTGTGCGGCTAAAGCCAGCAGCTTAGCTGTACCCAAGCACGGCTGCTCGTGATGCTCTCTCAAAGCAGCAGCAGCTCTTCGGATGAGCTCACTGAGACTTTCCTGCCAGCTGTTTTTTGCACTGAAAACAGCCCTCTTGTCCAAATAGAAGTTTCAGCCATCAAGTGTGGTGGTACTGGGAGACACATGCAATCACATCTCTTTCCCCAGTAGTGCCCACTGCATATTCCCCATGCCCACATCTCTGCTTTGCAGCATGATGACTATATCTCCTTGATGCTGCCATGACACTTTCTTAGGGGAGATGATCTCCATTCTCTGTGGCAGAAACTCCGTCTTCTCCTCGAGCTGCCTCCAGGGCTGTGAAGACTAAAACAGAGGGGACACATTCTGAGAGCTTCCCCGGGGAGGGACAGGGAGCCTCCCAGCCTGCTCCCCTCACACCAGCTACACCTTCTTGTCCCCTGCAATCCACTGCCACATCAGCTCGTGCTTCTGCAGGGGCAGACCAAGCAAAGAGAAGTTATGGGCAGCATTGCCTAGCCCTATGCAGGAGGTTCTCAACCAACCAGGGGACTCCAGTGCTTCCCATATTTCCAGGATTGAACAGAGCAAGTGCTGGACAGAGAGCCTTGTACAGCAGAGGCTCTCTCTGCATCCTGAAAATGGTAGGTTGGAGTTAAATGTGACCCAGGGAATCTCATGTGGCTCTGAGGGGCTGCAACACACAGGGTCTTCCCAGTGTACAAGAAATCCCCAGCCTTTTCTCCACACTGGGAGACCCACCAGACATGGCAGCAGCCGGGTGCCACGTACACGCTGGGCACTGGCATAGTCACCTGTGTGCTGATGGATCTGGAGGAAGCAAGCTGCTAAAAGTGTCTGTGTCTACACCTGAGATCTGGAGGGTGCTGATCAATCCCCCAGAAGGTCTCCTGACCTGGCAAGCACTGATCGGCAGGAGGATACTGACCTGGAAGGCACCAATGCTTGGGAAGATGCTGATCTGGAAGGTCACTGATTGCCAGGATAATGCTGGGGATGCCAACCTGGAAGGCACCAATCCCCTGGGGGATGGTGACCTGGAAGGCACTATTTATTTGGGACATGGTGCTTTTTCCCCTTCTCCAGAGTACTTCTTTCAGCTTTCCACTTATGCCAGCCACCAGTTCAGCCAGGGGCCACTCCGAGGGCCTGGGATCCACGCTCAGGCAGGCATGCAAGGCTGGCTGCAAAGAGCCAGGTGAGCTGCCTGCGGGAAGGTGAGCCAGCACCACTTCTCCCAGTTTCCCTCCTTCCTGGAGCAGCCCAGCTATGGGCCAGCGTGAGCAGGGCTCCCAACTCCTGCCAAAACAATCCCAGCCTCATCCTTCTGCAGGCAAGAGGGATGCCCAGACCCTATTTTCCCACTAGATGGCAAACATTGCCTTCTAAACAGCCTTTTC